GCGCAATTTTTATTCTTAATTTTCATGCTCAAAACGACAATTTTTTCTTTAGTACTTAAGATCCCATTTACAATAGGATCCCGTGTGAATTACTTATTCTTTTCGGAGGCCATATCGATGAAGTTTAAAAAAATCCAAGTTGTTGTAACCTATTGTTCCCCCCTAACGGAACTTAAATCTAAAGGAAGCATCTGGCATCCAGTGCTCGAAAATGTACTTGATAATGGGTTGCTTATTCTTATTCTAAGTTAAGTTCTCGTAGCGGTGAATTAGGACAATGAAAAATCAGGTAAGGCTCTAGGAACTCATACTCAACGTAAGTAGTTGGCATCCAGCGCTGGAAAAAGCACGCCATTAAGAGAAACAAGATTTTGCATCTGATTGGCTGAGAAGTTAAAATGGAAGATTTGACGAAGTAAAACTTCGATGTGACCCTAGATCAATACCGACACACCCATAAGAAATTGCTTTCCCTTTTAATAGTACAGTTTTAATCAATGAAATCTACGCTGATATCCATCAGTGTGTGTAAGGTGTATTTCTGTGATTTGGTGAAGACTACCATAACTGACTTTTTATCCTCTGATCTGCTTGTGACCGCTATCGAGGAACATTCTCTTAAGTAATGCTAACGTTTTCTGCTCTGTGATAACGCCTGAACCTCGTCAAGGACCGCAAACAAAAATGTTTACGGTGTCTGACTTACGACCACTATAAATTCTGCCAGGCGCAGAAGAGAGTTAAAACCGCAAGTTTTTAACTCTCAAGGACTGGTCATACGACGCATAAAATCAGTCAAGCTCATAACGCGACATCGACATGAAACATGTACATTTAAACTGGACCCTGGAAAGGCAACCCATCCTCAGTAGTTTCAATGAAGTTTTTGGGACTTACTTTCCCGCATCGCATCCTGGGAAAATGTTTCAGAAATGTAAAGTTAGGTGCCATCACTCGCTTCAGTTTATGCGTTACTGAAACCCAATTTTTTTTTTTCAAAAATATAAGCTAGAGTCTACGATGGATTGCTATTCCCTAACTTAAAACTGTATTCACATTAGATTTACATCATTAACTACTTATCTTTTGTTTTCTCATCTTTTCTTCCAAGCCAAAAGGGAAGGTAACTATCAATATCATCCGTTCCTATAAATAAAGAACTCTCCTGTGATTTAATATACATCATTGCCTCTCTGAACCACCTGGCTACTGATCGGCAAATTGCAATCGTAAACAGAGCAAGGGGATCTGGGGATGTATAGCACTGACAATAACCGATAGCTGTTTCTGTTAAGTGTTAAAGTCCAAAAGACCTTACTGTCAGTTTTGCTCAGTTTTAATGTATTTCTGAAAACCTAGGTACTGTAATAAACGCTATTTGTACGTGTGATCATCATCAGATGTCAGTCATGTTAGGACTGATCGTTTTTTGTAACAAACTCTGTTATTTTATTTTACTTCAACGTAAAAGAAAAATAAGACAAACCAAACAAATTGGTTAGAATAGAAGTGAATTAACGATTTTTTTAAAATTATTTTTCTCTTTCATGGCATACTTTCATGATTTATAAGCGGGTGAGTACAACATGTTCAGCTAGTTCATGAAACTTATGATGCGGTTGTCAAGTAATTCAACGTTATATTAAGCCACTCATTTACTTATTGTATGTGCAATCTTTCTTTTTATGTTCACTTAACGTCCTCATCCTAACTCGTTTAACAGATTGTAAGTAGTTATTCTTGAACTATCGTTTATCAGTAGAAATAATAAAGTCCATTGAACAAACGAATAGTTCCCAATAAAAACATACAGGCAGAAAACAGTGTTCCTCTGTGGATCAGTGGATGATGCCAATACAAAGATTCATAATAGAAGCAAAACTTTTAAGTGTTACAGCGACTGAATATGAATGGTTTTGACCACCCTCTGGTAGGGCTTTAACAGCAACAGTGGCATTCAGAAGTGACAGCGTTTTAATCTTAGTCTGTTTCTTTAATCATTTTTGTACAGGCATCTATTTGAGCAGTAGAAAAAAAAAGAAAAGAAAAACCTCACTTTCCCGGGCTTGATAACATGATAAATCCCTGGGGAATGTTTGAAGTACATGGATGATGCCTATAAATAGGGACCTGTAGGGCGGCTGATTTATAAGCCTCAAGCCATCTATCTTTTTAACGCAGTGATTTTAGTTCAAGGTCTCTTTGGAAACTAGAAACCTAGGATATCGACAATGATAATTATTTACGTTCATATCCTTTACGGCAAGGTGCAGATTTATGCAGCTGGTAAAAAATTTCCCCAAATGATTTCTTCGCACAACTTATTGTTTTTAAAGGTTGTATGGCGTGGTCATCATGGAGTGGCGACTGCAAAGAATGCAGACAGTACCGGGAAAGAGTTGGTAAGTGACAAGACGAGATTTTAATGCTGGTAATTCGAAAGTGCAATTGCTGGTTTTTGCCCATGGATATTTTTAAGACAGAAAATGCATTTTAAAGATTTTATTCAAATGAATTTATTCAACTTTTTTTTCAAACTTCTTATATACTGAGATTGCAATATAGGCTGTTTTTAAATCTAAGGTGGCTGAACACAGTTTTTGATACCTTTGTTTCTTTCACCATTTTCTCTAAAACCCTTGCCAAAACTGGCAGCAAGCAAATTAACAACACAAACTTTGTTTTTTAATTAG